GTTATAAAAAGGAAAAATAATGATTTCTAAGAATTTGATTGATTTGCTATTGTAGATAATTACAGAATTAGTGTTATCGCATGGAACAATCGTCATCAAGGGCGCGCTTAGATTGTATGCGGTCACAGTGAGTTTTATGAAAGGAAGATAACCTGTTGAATCAGAAAGAAACTATAAATAGATCCTGATAAACTAGCATTAATTTTTCAAAACCTGTGTCATTTTTTTGTTTGTTTTAATTTATTAGTTGTAAATGTCTTGGTGAAAAACTAAAAAAATGTCTACAACAGGGTGTATCAACGTCTATAGTTCACCCATTTAATTCGGAAAGAATTAACTTTAGTAAAAAAAAATGGTCTTACACAAAGCCCCAATTTAATTTGACTAAGAATCGCATGATGGTAACAGATTTAACACAACTTTCTCATCTAGATGCGAAATGAAACTAACTTGGTTATTTTAATTGAGAATCCCATATTTTTGTTGTACAGTTCGATTCTAGAGCTTATTTTTTGCCAGTTTTACTGAAAGGAAAATTTTGATAGGGTGAACCATTTCTAAGTTATGCCCGATGGAAGACGTGTGAGGGAGTTATGCTTTTTGTAACAAGATGGCCCACCCCATTTAATTCGGAAACGATTAACTTTAGCAAAAAATGGTCTTATACAAACCACAATTTAATTTTGACTAGGAATCGCATGATGGTAACAGATTTAACACAACTTTCTCATCTAGATGGGAAATGAAACTAACTTGGTTATTTTAAATGAGAATCCCATATTTTTGTTGTACAGCTCGATTCTAGAGCTTATTTTATGCCACTTTTACTGGAAGGAAAATTTTGATAGGCATTTCTGAGCCATGCCCGACGGAAGACGCGTGAGGGACGTTACTACCGGACGTTAGCATAGGTAATGACCCACGCTCACCTAATTCTGATATCAACGCAGGAAAATACGATGATCAGGATGTAACCTATCCGGAAACCTCTCTCTGAAAAAAGTGAAGAAAAGGATAATTAAATGAATTCAAAGGATATGCTAACCGTTAAGAAATCGTAAGCAACCCGTACAGAATAGACTCAGACCTTCCTCTCTCCCCAGCATCATAAGCAACAAGCATATCTCTTCTCTCGGCTCTTGAATACACTTTTGTTGGAAAGCTGAACATGAAATATATAATATATATATATATATATATATATACATAAGCCAATATATTTATTTATATAAGCTAAAACTAAACATGCCAAAAAAATTTCAGATCTCTCCTGTTATATATATATCATGAGAGATCTGAATGAACTGGTTGTTTTTTAATAAAGTAGCCAAATTTTTTTGACGTGTTTAGTTTTAGCTTGGCAAGTATTTTAATTTATTGCCCTANAGTTACGCCTGCACGAAACCACTAATGCAGCAACAAACGATTCTTCCCATATACAAATTCCGAGAATAGATTATAAGCATAAAATGTAGATTGTATTGTATGACCCCTTTCTTTCACAGATCCTCTCGGGACTCCGAACAGTACAGACACTTTAAATTAGAATCCTTGTGTAAAGTTGTAGTTTATATTGAATAAACCTTATTTTTAAAAAATTAGTTTCTTACATCGAAACTATAACTTATATATATATATATTATGCGATAGAATCCAAATGATTTCAAGAAGATTATCTTCGAGAAAATAACTTTATCAATTTTGTTTATCTAGTACTTAAATTGTTTATAACCTTGTGATGTATATTCTTTATAAAAGTATCTTTCATCCGTATGCACATATAAATAAATAATAAAACGAAAATTACAATAAAAGAAGTCATTGACATTCGAAATTTACCTAGACGTTTCATAACATCGAAACATTAATATTTGTAATTACATATTTACAATTAGATAAGAAAGCATAAACGAAATGGATGATACTACCATAACTTGGTCAAAACTTGCAAAAACAATCGGACATAATTCAGAAATGGTCGATCGAATCAAAATTTTCCTTTCCGAAGAAGAGGCAGAAAATAAGCTGTAGAATCGAATTCTACAATAAAAATATGGGATTCTTATTTAAAATAACAAAGTTAGCGTCATTTCCCAATTGTATTATAAAGTTATGTTAAATCAGTTACCATCACGCGATTCCTAGACAAAATTAACTTAGACCATTTTTTGCTAAGGTTAATTGTCTTTGAATTAAACGGGTGGCTAAAGAAGTTTACACACCATGTATATGTAGCTACAACAAGTAGAGAGTACTTTAAAATTTTTGGTTTAACAATTTTCTCTATTTACACCTCACTCCCCCCCGCGGATCTTACGGCTAGATAGATAGCTTCACACATATTGCTACATCTATAAGTACAACAAATTTTATTCTTTTGACATACACTCATAGACAAAAGCCGGACACTTTTATTTGTTTATTTTCCATAATTACTATGTATAAAGATAAAACTTGATTTAAACGACAACATTAATAACATGTTGGCTACTTTATAGGTTACTTTTACTTTTTAAATCCTTATCGGAGCCAAATTTTCGAACGAAAATTGTGTTTTTTGATGAAACAATAAATTTGAGGAACAAATTATTACTTTTTCTCAAAAGCACTGTATTAGGTCAAGTTCTCGCCCGGGCAGATGCGTTGGCCAACGAAGGACGAAGTCCGTTCATAGTCTTGGGTATGCCACGCTCTACCATCCACAACAGTCTTCAGCGTTTTAGGGGCTCCTGAAGTCTTGTTCGAAGAGAAGTTATCGACCGCGATGTACTACGGCTAGAGACGATAGGAAATCCTTGAAATGTAGTCAACTCCAAACGGTCAGGGTGGGCTTTAAAATAGTCATCAGAAGGCTTCGTGTTTATAGCCTAGTCTCTTCTAGACGACCCGCATCAGGTTCTTTACACTTGAGAAGCATTGAGTAGAAAGGCGACTTCGCAAATTAGAAACTAACTTGGACACTTGAACAACAGGGGGGGCTATTCTCTTCACTGGTTTGGTTTGTGGCAATCAGATAACAGGGACTAGTGTGGAGAACGCTTTGCTTTATGTGTCATGCATCAGACATTTCAAAGACAGTTATGGTATGGGATGGAAACAACGTCCCCATTCGCGCACCGAACTGATCGTCATGGATAGATCAACAACTGATCTGTATACATCTTTGAATGCACTACGGTACTATCGAGGAAGTTCTTCTGGAAGCCTGTGGTCACATGCGCTCCATTTATTAGGGGCAATTTGTTTTAATGATATTACTAAACCGCATTTAGTTAGAGCCCATTACTAGGAGGATTAGGGACCACCACAATGAATTGGTCAGCATGTTCTGACATGAATCACATAGAACTTGGGACATTAAAAAAGGACGAGTTAGAAATCATTCGCTGCCTCCAACATCTTCGAACCTCTCTTGTTTAGAAATGAGTTTCTGTTTCACAAGACAAAATCGCTTATTTACTCGATGCCTTAAGGTCTTCCACGAGGACTGAGGATGTAATACGCATTATAAAAACCAAAACTAGGTAATAAATTATTCGTTAAATTTTAATCACTATTTTCCGTTGTTTTGCTTTTCTTTCAAATCATCACAACTAAATAATTTTAATTAAACGCATGAATTTCTGCTCTCGTTTAATTTACTTTAAATGTATGTTATATATANTATAAAGAATATAGTATGTTAGTATTAAGTATGTAGTATGCTATACAAATATTATGAAAAAAAAATAGTTTGAAATAAACAACAAAATACTGTCCGGTTTTTGCCTTAGAGTGTATTTGTGGGTTAGGGTTTTACTTACTATTACTTTTTGTTTTTATTTTTGATTAAGATTAATTAATTGACTGTTAAGATGGTAAGGCCATTTTTAAAAATTTCGTTTATCCCCGGTCCGAAAACCCGCAACGGCTCTTGGACAAAGTGTGTTTGTAGAGCGAGGAATAACTGTATATGGGATAATTGCTTGACAATTTATTTCTGCCAGATACATAGCGGTGGTGGTCACGAAGGTACCCCTGGCAAACCTGTACGACATGCCTAAGAAGAACTGAAATTAAGTCTATTGGAAATTCAAAGCAAACCAAAACTGACCACGGGGTTGGGACAATGTTCCAAATGCCAGTCTGGGATAAATGATCAATGAAAACGATTTCACAAATTATAAAGCAAAATATTGAAGCGTTTGATTTTCAAAATTGGATAAATACATTTTTAAAGAAATTGTCCAAAAAACATTGAAAATTTTCACCTTTGAATCAATGAATTTTCTCCTGAATAACGTTGTTACGTAATTTTATTAGTGATTTCGTTTTGTTAACTTCATTTGAAAGTACTGAACAATCTGCAATTCATTTTTAAATTCCATTTATAAAAACTAAAGCACAACGTTTGAAACTTTGGAAATATTTGAAAGAATTAGTTCATTGTATTGCATGCCTTCTTAGCCCTAATAATTAATTGAATATAATTATTTTAAAAACAAGACGTAAAGTTTAAAGTTCTGAATCAAAATAGGCAATTATGTATATATATATTTACGTTCTAGTAGAGTTGAAAAATAACAATTGAACGTTATTTAAAAACCTGGAAATATCAACGTAAAGCATATTAGATGAAGTTTTTGTGAAATTTGACAAGTTGTAGGTATTTTTTAGTAACCTCAGTAGAACGTGCAATCATGACCAAAATTTTTTAATTTTGTAATTTTGACATGTTCCAACTGATATTGGCTAACATTTTATGTCATTCAGATTATTGCAAATAGAAATATCTTACAGCAAATTTAGCGTTCTTTCAAATGGTGCAATTGGATTTGTTGTAGTCTCAACATTTTGGAAGTTGTAAGCGTTTTTATGTGGTAAGGTAGTGAAAAGTTGAAAAAACCTAAATTGACGAATACCTTCAAAATAGAGAACTTTACGAAAATTTTCTCCTGGGCATTTTTTGCTCCAAACGAAGAGTAGAATCGATTCTCTGAGTTTCGTCAGAAGGAACTATATATAAGTTACGCCTGCACAAAACTATTAATTCAGCGACAAATGATATTACCCCTGTACAAATTCAAAGAATGTATTGTAAGCCTATGTAAGCAAAATACCCTTCCCTGTTCACTATTCCCATTACACTTGTGAAGACAGATTCAGACTAATCATATCCGTGAACAGGAAAGGTTCTTCTCAAATTGTAAGTGTGTTTAACTAATAAAGTTCTTTTTAAAAAGACTCTCGTTTAGTCAACACACGTAACTGGCGCAGTCGGTAGGACATCGCAAAGGTTTTTCAAGGGAATATTGGAAACCAATCGTGTCAACGGTGAATTTGCTGCATCGGACCTGATGAGGATGAAATTTAGTTTGTGAGTAGGAAATTATTGTATTTTATAACAAATTTATTGTTTTTAATTGTAAACGTTTTGGGTATTGTTATAACCTAATTAAACTTAAAATTATAACTTTAATATAATTGTATAATTATAACTTGTTGAAATGCCCAATTTTGCTGAATTAAAATTCATTTTGGATGCCATCCCTAACTTCGATGGCAATCCGAAAACTCGGACACAATTTACATTAAAAGTGGAAGAAGCACAAAACATTGTATCTTCTCTAACACCTCCTTTAACAAACAAACAAAAATCTATGTCCTACATACACATTAACAACAAATTAACATATAGAGCGAACGAAGCCCTAAGGAACATACAATTTGCAAACTGGGATGAGTTGAAGCAGTTTCTAATCAAAGAGTTTGGTGATAGGAAAGGACCGGCCAGCATTATCCTAGAGATAATGCAGATCGAAATATAAAACCCTTTCAGATCACTAAATTTAATAAAAGAAAAGTTTGACTCGTTCAGAGCAAAAATACTTACCGAAAAGGGATCAGATGAACAAAAAGCATACTTGATAGAATTTCAAGGAAAAAATTATAGCTACAAATTTCATCTGTTCATTAAAAGACCCCTTGCGTAATAATCTAGCAACCAGAAACTCACAGGCATTAACGGACATACAAAAACTATTATTAAACGACTTTCAGTACTTGCGCGAAAACAACAAAGACACAACACAAGTTGGATCGCAAAAATTTCGACCACCAATTAGTAAAGGGACACATTATAACTTTCCAAAGAATTTCAAACCTAATTTCCCCCAAAACATTTTTTTTAAACCACCAAATCAATACAAACAAAATCAAAACTTTTCTAAACAGAACACCAACACCAATGAGTATTTCTACTGGAAATAGTAACCAGTCAAACATTCATCCACAACCGCAAGTGTTCCAGATGGAAACACAGGAACACGAACCACATAGTCAAATAGAATCCACAGAGAATCATTTTTTAGGGCTTACTCAATTAGGAACAAATTTCAAATAATGAACAATCTTCGGACAACGAACTACCATATTTTATAGATCCAGAGACGAAAACTAGAATATTCATTGACACGGGAAGCACGCGTTCGTTTATAAATAAAATTTGTCGGTTTTGAATTCTGTAAAAATAATATAAAAAAGGATCCTTTCGAAGTGACCACTGTACATTGAACTTCAAAGGAATGCTATAGTACCTACTATCCATCTTAAATAACAAAAATAAAATAAAAAATTTTTTTGTTTGATTTTCATAATAAGTTTGATTTACTTCTGGGATTAGACAACATTAAGAAATTAAACATACAATTAGATTTTAAATCTAACAAACTTCATTTTAAAGGAAAATACATTCCTATTTTGTATTTTGATACGCGTTCTAGTCAAGAGAAGCCTCCAACAGGGAGTACACCGGTTGGATCTCAGATGACTAGTTACGTTCTGGAGTCCAGAAGCGAAAAAACTGTAAAAATAAAAGTAAAAAACATTAAAGATGGAGAAGGTGTATTAAATTAACAAAACGTAGCGAGAATAGAAATCCCACAACGCTTAGTAAAAATTAAAAATAATGAAGCATTTTGTAAAATGTACAACCCAAAGGATACTAGCATTAAATTAAAAATGACACAACCATTCGTGGTAAATAATCTAGAAGACTACGAAATTAAATCGCGGCATACGAGTTCAAAAATTAATAATAATTTTAACATGCTCGGTACAACAAAGAAACAAAAATTAGGTTTAGATTATGTAAACACGAACAATTTTAAACAACACTGGGAAAAATTCCGCACAGAACATAGTAACGCCGAAGAAAAAGAAATGGTTATGAAACTGGTGGATAATTATATGGACATATTTTATGAAGAAGGTACGCCACTTACATTTAGCAATAAAGTAAAGCACATCATACGGACAAGGGACGAAATTCCCATATATACAAAATCGTACAGATATTCGGACGTTCATAGAGAGGAAATCAATAGACAAGTTAATTCTATGTTACAACAAAAAATTATCAGACCGTCTTATTCTCCATGGAATTCACCAATCCGGATAGTTCCAAAAAAATTGGATATGTCTGGAAGTCAGAAATGGAGAATAGTAATTGACTACCGGAAACTGAACGATAAAACAATAGATGACAAATATCCAATTCCTAACATTACTGAACTACTTGACAAATTAGGGAGATGTCAGTATTTTACCACCGTAGATTTAGCCTCAGGTTTTCACCAAATCGAGTTGGATGAAAATAGCATTCAAAAAACGGCATTTTCAATAGAACGGGGCCACTATGAATGTCTTTCGTATGCCCTTCGGTCTAAAAAATAGTCCACCAACCTTTCAAAGGACAATGGACAACATACTTCGAGGCACAAAAAATGCTATAGTATATTTAGACGATATACTAGTATTTAGTACCAGTCTTCAAGAGCACATGGAAACGTTAAGGGAAGTTTTCGAAAAACTTAGAGGTGCTAATTTTAAAATACAACCGGACAAAACGGAATTTTTAAAACAGGAAGTAGATTATTTACGTCATGTCGTTACTCCGGAAGGTGTTAAACCGAATCCAAATAAAGTACGACCTATCCAAGAATATCCCCTTTCCAAAACAATAAAAGAAATTAAAGCATTCCTCGGTCTAGTCGGGCACTATAGGAAATTTACACCTGACTTTGCAAAGATAATGAAACCCGTAACGATGAACTAGATTATCGACCTGCTGGATACAAGAAGTCTTTTCAGAGGATCTTCGGAAGAGGTCAAAACAGAGAAAACTTCCTTACGGTTTTCGCCGAGCTTTCGACAGTTTTATACTGTCATCTTCAGGGCCTGTTTTATTATCATATAAACAAACATGTTGTTCATGTTTTAATTGTTTGTTTATATGATAATAAAACAGGCCCTGAAGATGACAGTATAAAACTGTCGAAAGCTCGGCGAAAACCGTAAGGAAGTTTTCACTGTTTTGACCTCTTCCGAAGATCCTCTGAAAAGACATAATGAAACCCCTTACACACTGTCTAAAAAAAGGAGCGAAAATTAACATCAACGAACCATCTTATATTAACAGTTACAATATTTGTAAAAGTATATTAATGAATGATCCAATTTTAAAATACACCGATTTTTCTCGTCAATTCATATTAACGACTGATGCCAGCAATGTGGCGTTGGGCGCAGTTTTGTTCCAAAATTTTGATGGAAAAGAATTGCCTATAGCTTATGCTAGTAGAACTCTCTGTGAATCCGAAACAAAATTGTCGATAATAGAACGAGAATTACTCGCAATTGATCGGTCAACAAAATATTTTAGGCCATATTTGTTCGGTAGGAAATTTGTCATACAATGCAGACCATTACAATGGCTGTTTTCTATGAAGGAGCCGAATTCTAAATTATTACGTTGGCGACTCAAACTGGAAGAATACAATTACGAAATTAAGTACAAAACAGGAAAATAGAACAAGGTAGCTGATGCTCTTTCGAGAATAGAATTGAATATACATGAAACCGGTGACGAAGTAATAGACTTAGTTAAATAATTAGAGACTTTTATTTACAAAATCCAGATCTCGAACCCGATAGATTAAATTTGGAAAACGAATCTAATATAAATCTAGAAAATGAATCCGTCACGGTCAATGTAGATGAACTTGATGGAAATGTAGGTGAAAACATCGACGATGACGATGCGACGGTACATTCCAACGGAATTGGAAATACGGTTACAAATATACCGATTATTGAGGGTCCGGTTAATTTCGGTAAAAATCAAATAATAATTTCAGAAGTCGAATTTAATCCGACAAAACCCAAAATTATTAAGTTGTTCGGGAATTCAAAAACGAGAATAAGCGTCCAATTTTCAAAGAACGATTTTACTAATGACGTTATTATATTTATAAAAGAATTCATCGTGCCTAAAACGGCATATCACTTGTATTTCGAGTCAGATTTATACGAAAAATTTGCGAAAGTAATAATGGAGGTATTCACTTATACAGAACTAAAGTTTTTTAAATGTACAGAAAAACGTATCGATGTTTCAGAGGAATCCGATATCAATGAAATTATAGAGAAATATCATATTTCAAAAACAAAACATAGGGGCATCACGGAAACGGAAAGTAGAATTAAATGTATTGGCCTAATATTAGTAAGTCTGTACAGGAATTTATTAATAGATGTGAAGTATGTCTTTTAACAAAATACAATAGACAACCCATGAATTTAAAGTACAATTTGACTCCGACACCAAGCAGACCTTTTGAGATTGTTCATATTGACACAATTACGCTAGAGAATAAAAAGTTTTTAACAATAATATAAACAACTTTTTCTAAATTTGCTCAAGCCTACAAAATAGAGTCGAATCAAGCAATCGAAATAGTGAATAAATTAATAAAAATTTTTACATCTTACAATGTTCCAAAGACTGTTGTGTCAGATAACAATGTAAATTATACTAGTTTGGCATATAATCACTCGCTTCACTCAGTAACAAAATTAAAACCTATTGAAATAATCATTGGGCTTTACAGAACGAATCTAATTTTAAAATCAATTTAGAACAACAAATTTTAAGTAACTATGTCAGTAATCATAAAAGGAAAATAGATTTGTTATATAAAAAGATCAATGAAACTTCTTTAGTGCATAAAGACCATATTATCAAAAAACGGAACGAAAACAGAATAGAAATACCAGAAGTAAATATACCGAACGAATTTTTGTGAAAGTCAAGCAAAAACAAAGACTAAATACAAAAAGGAGAAAATAAAATCCATAAATAAGAATCTAAAAACTGCCGAAATCATCCCAAGTCATCACAACACAATAGACAAAATATGCATATCAAATATTAAAAAACCAAGAAAATTAACAAATTCTCGCGACATTCCAGGTTCTTCCCACTCCTCTTCTGGACCACAACCAGAGGAATCAACATAATTGATATTACAAACGGCA